TGTGTAGTGTGGGTAGGATCTGCCATTTGGTTTATTTATACTCCTCTTTTAGCATCATGTTGTCAATAGGTGATCTAATTAGGACACCAATAAAACCGTTTTTGAAAGGTTATGATGTTCCACTGTGAATCGTTCTAGCTCCTAGAATTTTTCATAATGCACTGCACTCTGACACGATGGTGGACCGAACTGGTCGGCTCAGCAGGGAGGTCCCACGTGGCGACGTGTCGGCAAGCGCTTTGGTGACAACACGTCATGGATCGGGTCCGTTACGTCAGTCGAATGCATCTTACCTGGGCGACATTTTTAAGAACGAAGTGGATAAACGCTTTCCTTATCGCCTAAATTTGTGAATGTTTCGAAAGTATTAGTGTTGCACCACCTTGAAGTCCCCACTAAAAGCAGGCAATCCTCGTCTGAATGAGGAAAAGGAAGGAATCCTTCCACGGTTTGAAGTAACTACGAGACCCGAGTGCGGGATAATTTCACAGACCTGACCTTGCATCCGTCTAGTTGCCTCCGCCCCGCCTCCCCATTTCTGTGCTTTTTTTCCTCGTCAAGCAAGCAACCTTCACCCCCACCCAACCCTTCCCAGTTCCAATCCGAGCCACCCTCCCAACATTTTACATATCTCGTTCCTGATTATCTTTCATTGCTCCTTGCTCTATCTTGCTCTGACATTCCTTGCGCATATTCCTAGCCGACTGCCCCTCCGGCCGCTGCTCCTGTTGCAAGGAGTCCTACGCTTTTCTGACTGCAGCTTCTTAGGCTGCGCTTGAGTTCTTCTGCTTGGCGGCTTATGTCAGCAACGATGGTGGGAACCGTGCGCTATGTCCTGCTTCTAGCCCTAGTCTCGCTTATCGTCGTCCCTTTCGTTCGCGCGGACGATGACGGATTCGATAACACCGTGCAATCCGATAAGATCGTCGATGATGCCTCGGATAATATCTTGGGATCTACGGAGGTGAATCATGTCCTCTCCAAGCTTCCCGCCAGCCACCCGCTGCTCGGCGCGCTGCGCAACCCGGCGGAACACTTCGCGCGTTTCATCCACCGTTTCAACAAGTCGTACGCGGCGGATCTCCGCCAGTACCGCGCGCGCCTGCGCATCTTCCGCGCTAACCTCCTCCGCGCGGCGCAGATCCAGCTGCAGGACCCTTCCGCGGAACACGGCGTGACTCCCTTCTCAGATCTCACCCCAGAGGAATTCGCCAAGACGCATCTTGGCCTGCTGCCCGTGGATTCCGAGCGGTCCGCGCGCAGCGCATTTCTGGAGAGCCTGAAAGCGGAGGGACGACTGGAGCGGTCTGAGCTGCCGACGGGGGATCTTCCGGAGCAGTTTGATTGGCGCGAGAAGGGCGCGGTGACGGGCGTTAAGAATCAGGTACGTTCGAATCGGGAAATTTCTATTGGGACCTGGTTCAGAGATAACCATCGGGGGGAAGAGGGCATGGGGATCGGGTTTGGCGCGAGAAGGGAACGGTGGAGGGTGTCAATCCGTCGGCCCATCCTGCTGCATCTCGCTCTTCGCCCTTGTCTCTCCCGCTCCATCCAGGGCATGTGCGGTTCGTGCTACGCGTTCAGCGCCGTCGGCGCGTTGGAGGGGGCGCACTACTTGCAACCCCCTCTGTCAATTCTGACCTCTCCTGCTCCGCCTCCCCTTTCCGCGCTTGCTTGCGCCGCCTCCTTCTTTTCCCACCTCCTCCCCACCCAGGGCATGTGCGGGTCGTGCTACGCGTTCAGCGCCGTGGGCGCGTTGGAGGGCGCGCACTATCTGGCCACGGGCGAGCTCATCAGCCTCAGCGAGCAGCAAATCGTCGACTGTGACCATAACGTGAGTGGGGAGGATGTGACTGTAACGTGAGTACGTATGTTTGACCATAGGGGGCAAAGTCAGCAAGCAAGCGTAGGAGGCCGCGCACCATCTGGCGACGGGCGAGCTCGTCAGCCTGAGCGAGCAGCAGGTCGTCGACTGTGACCATACCGTGAGTGGCAGTGGCAGCATGTGACTGTACCGTGAGTGACCATAACATGCTCGTGAGATCAGAGCAGTCAGTAGTTACCGATTCACTCTTTCATGGTGCTTGCTATTCCGAGTGCCGTGCCGCATGAGCAACAAGGGGTGACTGGCACCATAGCACCCCCCTTTTTGCGTGTTTCACCTTGCAAACTGAACAAGAGTATAAGTAATGTGTTCCGTGTGCATCTACCCGCTTCTCCCCCCTCCCTCCCTCGCATCCCGCTTCTCCTCAGTGCGACCGTAAGGAGAAGGAGGCGTGTGACTCTGGCTGTGGCGGCGGGCTCATGAACAACGTGTTTCGCTACATTCAGAAAGCGGGAGGGCTTCAGAAAGCGGGAGGGCTTCAGAAAGCGGAGCAGGAGTATGGATACACGGGCAGGGAGGGGCGCTGCCAGTTCGAAATCAAACCCTCATTCTCACCTCTTCCCCCTCTGTCCTCCTCCCCTCCTCCAACCCTTGCCCTTCCCTTGTCTCCCTTGTCCGATTTTGCCTTTCCCCTTCTGATTTATACAGTGCGACCCCAAGGAGAAGGAGGCGTGTGATTCCGGCTGCGGTGGTGGGCTGATGAACAACGTGTTTCGCTACATTCAGAAGGCCGGGGGGCTGCAGACAGAGCAGGAGTATGGCTACACTGGCAGGGAGGGGCGCTGCCAGTTCGACGCAGAGCGCGTGGCAGCGAGAGTAGAGTCGTTTGTTGAGGTGCCTGAGAAGGACGATCAGATGCAGGCTCATCTGGTCAAATACGGCCCGCTGGCAGGTGAGAACATTGCTTTGTGTTTAGGCATTCGTCTAGCTGTGTGAAAGAGGGTGGGTGGGTGGGCTGGCTGGCTGCGAGCAGCGAGGGTGGAGTCGTTTGTGGAGGTGCCTCAGAAGGACGATCAGATGCAGGCCCACCTGGTCAAATATGGCCCGCTGGCAGGTGAGCGTTCTTCTTTACACGCTTGAAGGATTGGAAGGGTGGGCGGGAGTGCAAGGGAGTGTGAGTGAGAGTGCAAGGGATGGCGTTGGGGCAAGGAGTATGGATATACACGGGCAGGGAGGGGCGCTGCCAGTTCGACGCAGGGCGGATGGAGTGAGGGTGGAGTCATTCGTGGAGGTGCCTCCAAAAGATAATCAGATGCAGGCCCACCTCGTCAAATACGGCCCGCTGGCAGGTGAGTGAGAGGTGGGCAGACTCTCTCAGTGTGTGTAGTGCTGTGAGGGGTGTGAGTGTAACCCTGAGGAGCAGACAAGGAGTAGCGAGGTTTGAGTCGTTTGTTGAGGCGCCTCAGAAGGACTATCAGATGCTGGCTCACCTGGTCACGGCCCTTTCGTAGATGAGCTGGTTAGTTGTGTGGGGAGGTATGTGAAGGGCGTGTTCTTCCCTCTCCTCTGCAACCGCCATGGCTTGAATCACGGGTTGTTGATGGTGGGGTATGGTTGGCACGGGTTCTCTTCCGCTTCTTTTGTAATCACACAGACAGTTACCACTCCCTTTTAACAAAAAGAATTTCTAAGGATCTTGGATGCTTCTGCGTACAAGATCTCGAGATGTTACAACGTTAAGTGCGTTAGAGATTGTTTAATGTTGTAACACCTTGAGTTCTTGTACGGAAGAGCACCCAAGATCCTTAGAAATTCTTTTTGTTTTCATTGTTGTCACTTACGTTCAACCAAAATGCGTGTTTTTACGTCAAGAATGTCTCCTGTCCTCTGCTCTGCAACCTCCATGCGTTGAACCACGGGGTGCACATGGTGGGGTATGAATCACACGGGTTCTCAATTACCACCTCTCTTGCCCTCCCCACGCCTTCCTGTCCCCCTGCTTCGTCCCACTCTTCCCTTCCGCACTTCTACCCTTTCAGTTGCTCTCAACGCCAACTGGATGCAGTCATACGTGAAAGGCGTCTCCTGCCCTCTCCTCTGCAACCGCCATGCCCTGAACCACGGTGTGCTCATGGTGGGGTACGGGTCACACGGGTTCTCCCCTGCCCGCCTGCGCTACAAGGACTATTGGGTGATCAAGAACAGCTGGGGCAGCGCGTGGGGCGAGCAGGGGTATTATAAGCTGTGCCGGGGCCAGGACGAGTGTGGGATCGACTCATATGTGTCTGCTGTGGTGGCTGTGAAACCTGCAGCAGGGTTAGCGACTCAGTAACGGACGTGCAGTGACACAGGGAGAGGCGTGGGTCGAGCAGGGATACTATAAGCTGTGCTGGGGGAAGGATGGGTGCGGGATTGACTCGAATGTATGCGCTGTGGTGGCTGTGAAACTGGATGGTGCTGCTGCTGCTGGTGGGGATGAGGTTGGGGTAGTAATGGAGTAAGGAGAGGTGAAACAAGGAGGTGGGTGGTGGGGAGTGGGGAGGGGGGCGGAGGTTTTACTGCGTTGGGTCGTACCGGTTGTCCCCTGCACAGGTTCCTCTCCCCTGCGCGGCTGGTTGTGCTGGTGAGAGGAATCTGTCTGCTGGGTAGGAATCTGTCGGGATTGCTGTCTGGAATGTTTACACCATGAAGATTGTGGATCTTGAATCACTCTAAGATGTTCGGATATGCACTGTTTGGATTTTGTTTGAAGCGCTTCTTCGAATTTGGGCATGTTTGCTGCGTCGTGTGAAAGTTGGGGGAACACTGAACTCTGGTATCGGTAGAGAACATTGCACCCATGGTACAAGCCACATATGAAATTTGAGACGTCTCAAAAAACGGTGCATCCATGGTAGAAGACACATACGAGTTGATTGAGAGAGTGACTTCGTTACAGCATGGACCTCCCAAGTGACTACAGGAAAAGTGACCCCAATCATCTGAGATGTTACGATGTACTACGAAGCTTCTAAACAGCAGGATTCTTTGCATCCTAGTATGTAAAATATTGCAATAATTTCGTGTTAGACATGCATTTGTTAGCTATAGCATGTCCAACTTCATTCCTCACAGGAGATGTGATTTGTGACTCGGAAATTGTAGACATCTTGCACGGTCATGTACCATATCAGATCTATTTATGAACAGTGAAACACGCCAGCCGTGGAAATTGCAGCTTCAGATGGTCGTGAGAACGATCCTGCATAAGAGAGCTCGAAGTAGGACCACCAAAAAAGCGTGAGAGCTGTTTGTAACGAAACAACGACAACAAAGGTGCTTCTAAAACAATACATACACGATCGTTTCACACCAACAACACTTGGACATGGTTTGGGATGTTACCTGTATTCCCACGCAGCCATTGACATCCAGTGTTTGCAGGGAGGTACAGCAAGAGGCAGAAAGGACGACTTTTTAGTCGACTCACGAATCATTTGGAGCCTTACCTGTATTCCCACGCAGCCGTTGACATCCAATGTGTGCAGGGAGGTACGGCAGGAAGCGGAGAGGGCAGCCATGGCCGCATCTGTGACCCCCCTTATGCCGTGTAAACTGGGGAGGGGAGGGCAGAGAGGGCAGTCAGAAAGTGCAGTGGGCGAGAGAGGAGGCAGAGAGGGCAGGTATGGCCGCATCTGTGACGCCTCTTCTGCCGTGCAGACTGGGAGAGACGGGGGGAGTGCGTATGGAGTGGAGCAGAGGGGAAGAGGGACAGAGAGAAATGTCATTTGAGGGTAGGAATGGCCGCATCTGTGACCCCCCTAATGCCATGCAGATTGGGAGAAACTGAAGGGAAGTGCGTATGGAAGGGAGGCGGCAGGAAGAAAGGGAGAGAATGGGGGCTTGACATGGGAGAGCGGAGGTAAGAATCAGAGAGGGCAGACATGACCGCATATGTGACCCCTTATGCCATGGAGGCTGGGATAGACAGAGACAGTGAGTGCGTATGGAAGGGAGGGGAGCAAGGAGAGAAAGAAGGTACTGAAATGGGCATTTTTTACGTATCAAAAAGCAGCAGACATGGCCGCAACTGTGACCCCTTATGCCGTGGAGGCTGGGAGAGGAGGAAAAAGGGAGGTGGAAGGTGAAAAAGAGAGAGGGGGGGTGAGGAGGGGAAGGTGGAAGTGTGGAGTGAATGGGGGGCGTGGGATGAGATACTTTGTGTCCCAAAAAGAATGCGTGTAAGTTTTCTAGCAGATTACTCAGAAGAACATACCTTAGAAGCTCGATATGATGACAGGACGATGCCACTTGGATGAGGCCTTGATCCGTTATAAGCACACACCTGGGGTGAAGATACAGGCACAGCAAGGAATACAATATAAGCAGCACACTACAGGCAGCTGCACTATAAGAAGCGCACTAGAAGTAACGTACAACTAGGGAGGACACTATAAGCTATAAGGGGGTCACATTGCAATCCGCCCACTAACATAAGCAGGCAACAAAAACCATAAGCGACACAGTACAAGCAGCATACCATGAGAGGTTGAGTGATACGAGGTGAGTGCAGCGTGCAATGCCCTCCAGTCCAGTGTCGGTCAGATGCTGTTGGTTGGAGAGGGATGCAGTGCGATAGAAAGGAGAGGAGGAGAGGGAGAGACCGATTTTGAGGCGCCTCAAAAATAGCGTGCCATGCCCTTCAGTCGACTTTTGAGTCGACTCAAAAGTCAACTCTTCAATCCCTTGTCTGTGAGAAGCTGTTGGGGAGGAGTGGGATGAGACGTGAGGCGAGATGTGACTGAGAACAAGTAGAGCACTAGCTTGTGTAGTCCAGGCCTTGACGCCCATCCCTCAGAGAGGTGAGAGCAGCGTGAACTGCCCTCCAGTCCCTCGTCTGTGAGATGCTGGAGGAGGGAAGTTACACGAGAGACAGGATCACAAGAGAGGGGTGAGATGTGATGGTAAGGTGAGAAGCGAGACGTAACTGATAACAAAAAGAGCGATGGTTTGTCTGCTGAGTCCACTTTCAGTCGACTCTAAAGTCATTTCGGTAAACAATGCCCATCCCTGAGGGAGGTGAGTGCAGCGTGCAATGCCCTTGTCGCCTCCCTCAGGGATGACCAATCCCTTGCCGCCTTCATTCCTTCACACCTTCATTCCTTCATTCCTTCACACCTTCACACACACCGCTATAGACGCAACATTTATTCCCCACCTTCGACCATCATACCTTCATGCCGCACAGGTCGAGCACTCGCAGGTGGGAGAGGTGCCCGATGGTTGCCAGGGAATCATCTGTAAAGCTGGTGGGTGGAGGGTGGGTGTGGGGGGAACGAGGGGAGGCACGGAGGGGACGAGGTGCACTCGCAGGTGGGAGAGGTGCCCGACAGTTGCCAGGGAATCATCTGTGAAGCTGGTGGGAGAGGGGGGGTATGGGGAGTGAGGGGGATGAGGAAAAGAGGGGCACAATGCGTCTTCCCCTCAAGCACTCGCAGGTGGGGTAGTCGCCCGATGGTTGCCACGGACTCGTCTGTGAAGCTACAAGGAGGGGAGGGGAGGGGAGTGAGGGTGGGAGTGCGGAGTGAGGGAGGGTGGGGGAGGGGAGTGAGGGTGGGAGTGGGGAGTGAGGGAGGGTGGGGGAGGGGAGTGAGGGGCTGAAGAGGCAAGGAGGTCCAGCCGCTTGCAGCTGGGATAGGCACCCGATGGTTGCCATGTCAGAGACTCATTTGTGAAGCTACCAGGCAGAAGAGAGATGAGAGGTGAAGCTCATTAATGAGGCTCATGAATGAGAGGGGCAATTCAGGAAGGAGTTTTGACGGGAGATGTTAGCGAGTGACAAGAATACCTGGCCTGGAGTAAGAGTGCGTAGAGTTTTGAGTCGTCTAAAAAAGAAGTACCTGGAGAGTGCGTAGAGTTTTGAGTCGTCTAAAAAAGAAGTACCTGGAGAGTGCGTAGAGTTTTGAGTCGTCTAAAAAAGAAGTACCTGGAGAGTGCGTAGAGTTTTGAGTCGTCTAAAAAAGAAGTACCTGGAGAGTGCGTAGAGTTTTGAGTCGTCTAAAAAAGAAGTACCTGGAGAGTGCGTAGAGTTTTGAGTCGTCTAAAAAAGAAGTACCTGGAGAGTGCGTAGAGTTTTGAGTCGTCTAAAAAAGAAGTACCTGGAGAGTGCGTAGAGTTTTGAGTCGTCTAAAAAAGAAGTACCTGGAGAGTGCGTAGAGTTTTGAGTCGTCTAAAAAAGAAGTACCTGGAGAGTGCATAGAGTTTTGAGTCGTCTAAAAAAGAAGTACCTGGAGAGTGCGTAGAGTTTTGAGTCGTCAAAAAAAGAAGTACCTGGAGAGTGCGTAGAGTTTTGAGTCGTCTAAAAAAGAAGTACCTGGAGAGTGCGTAGAGTTTTGAGTCGTCTAAAAAAGAAGTACCTGGAGAGTGCGTAGAGTTTTGAGTCGTCTAAAAAAGAAATACCTGGAGAGTGCGTAGAGTTTTGAGTCGTCTAAAAAAGAAGTACCTGGAGAGTGCGTAGAGTTTTGAGTCGTCTAAAAAAGAAGTACCTGGAGAGTGCATAGAGCAGCAGTTCTTCCAAATGGGAGCATCCCGCTGTGATGTGCCTCATACCCTTTTCTTTTGAGTCGTATTTAGACGTCTCAAAACACTTCTTCAATCCCGCTGTGATGTGCCTCATACCCTTTTCTGTCGCTCTCAAATTCACACACGCACACAGATGTATGCGCGCATGCGTACACACACAGGGAGCTAGGGACTGTTAAGTCGACTCAAAGCCACCTGGAGAGTGCGTAGAGCAGTAGTTCTTCCAAATGGAAGCATCCCGCTGTGATGTGCTCGAGACCCTTGTCTGTCGCTTGCACACGCGCAAACAGGGAAGCACGCCCACACATACACAGGGACTGTTGAGTTGACTCAAAGTCACCTGGAGAGAGCATAGAGCAGCAGCTCTTCCAAATGGAAGCATCCCGCTGTGATGTTCTCGAGACCCTTGTCTGTCGCTTGCACGCACCTGCTGGGTGATACACGTAACACATGCACACGCGCACGCATATACATGCAGGCATACACACACGCACGCAGGCACGCACATGGGGCACATGAGTCATACGCACATGGGGCACATGAGTCATACGCACATGGGGCACATGAGTCATACGCGTTTCTCCAGACGTGTTCTGAATACGCACAGATGCACAGGCAGTCTCACACACGCACCGACCGAGGTTAAGAGAAATGAGGTGTGGAAGCAAGGTGACTTTTGAGTCGACTCAAAAGTCACTTCTGATTACGCACAGACGCATGAGCAGTCTTACACACGCACCGACCGAGGTTAAGAGAAATGAGGTGCAGAAGCGACCTGCGAATCAAGCAAAGAGAACTGAACATGTTCCATTCCTTCCTGCAAGCCTTGAGTTGACTCAGCAGCACGCACCGGGTGAGGTTGAGGGACTTGAGGTGGGGAAGCGAGTCGGCAATGAAGCGAAGCGATGTGTCAGTGATGTTCTGCAGTGGTGGAGATGGGTGGAGATGGATGGAGATGGGTGGGGATGGGTGGAGATGGGTGGAGATGGGTAATGGTGGAGAAGGTGGGAAGGTAGTGGCTTTGGGGTCTTAATGAAGGTGGGAGATTGATTCAGCGAGCAAGAAAGTGAGCGAGCTAGAGAATGATGGAGCAAGTGAGAGAGTGAGTGAACGAGTGTATGAGTGAGTGGGACATGTTTGAAGAAGTGTTCTGAGAGGTTTCAAAACACTTCTTCAAACAAGTGAGAGAGTGAGTGAACGAGTGTATGAGTGAGTGGGACACCTTGCAGCCGCTAAGGTTGAGTGGCTGTAACGAGGGGACTTTTGAGTCGACTCAAAAGTCACCTGAAAGCGAGTGGGTGCCAGTTACCTTGCATCCACTAAGGTTGAGTGACTGTAACGAGGAGCAGCGCAGCACCACTTGCTTCACCCCTGAATCAGTCACTCTGGCAGAGAGGAGGGAGAAAGGGAGGAGAGTAAAGGCAGGAGGGCATGTGGGCATGGGAACACGAGGAGCAGCGCAGCATCACTTGCTCCACCCCTGAATCAGTCACTCTGGTAGGTGGGAGGGCGGGGAAGAGCGGGAAGGAAGAGGAGAGCAAAGGAACGAGGGCATCCGGGCATGGGAACGTGAGGGGCATCGCAGCACCACTTGCTCCACCCCTGAATCAGTCACCCTGGCAGGTGGGAGGGCGAGAAGAATGGAGAGTAGGACGTGGGCACGGAGGGGGGAGGGGAGGGATAGGCCACGGACGGGGGAAGGGCAAAAATAAGGGGACGTATTCCCCCAAGGATAGGCCTTCCCCCCCCCCTCCACGAAAAAAAAACAGGCGAGAAAGAAGGGGGGGGGGCGGGAGGGAGAGCTCACTTGAGGTTTCAGTAGAGCGAGAAGGAGCGGAGGTTAGGGAGCAGCTTTGCGGCAGTGGGAGAAGGCACGCCCAGGTGGCATTAGAGTAAGAGCAGACGGGAGGGAGGGTGGGAGGAGGGAGGAAGGAAGAACTCACTTGAGATTCCAGTAGAGCGAGAAGGAGCGGAGGTTAGGGAGCAGCTTTGCGGCAGTGGTGACCCCTTGGTCCGTGACTTGCTGGCACGCGTTGAGATTGAGAGACACGAGGGGCTGACGAATGGGTGACGGGGGATGGATGGTGGGAGGGGTTGAAGGGGAAAAGAGGGGACTGGGATGGAGTCAGCACAGCAGCGGTGGTGACCTTTTGGAATTTTGAGGCGCCTCAAAAGGAGTCAGCACAGCAGCGGTGGTGACCTTTTGGATTTTTGAGGCGCCTCAAAAGGAGTCAGCACAGCAGCGGTGGTGACCTTTTGGATTTTTGAGGCGCCTCAAAAGGAGTCAGCACAGCAGCGGTGGTGACCTTTTTGGTCTGTGATTTGTTGACAGGCGTTGACATTGAGAGGCATGAGGGACTGAGACAGGGTGAAGGGGAGAGAGAAAGGGGATAGGGCGAGAGAAATGGGATAGGGCGAGAGAAATGGGGGAGAAGAAGGGATGGGGTTGAATGGGGTGGGTGATCCCTTGGTCCGTGACTTGCTGGCAGCAGTTGAACCTGATAGGCTAGTGTGGGAGACGACGGGGATAGGGTGAAGATGCTTGGGGAAAGAGGGGAAAGAGTCAGAGGGGACGGGGAGACAGAGGGGACGGGGGGGATTTCGAAAAGTGACCCAAATCACAACTTTTGCTCCAGAAACCCTTGAGAGGACTAAAAAGTTTCCATGAGGTGGCACATCAAAACTTTAGCCCTCACAATGCCAGAGTGAAACAGCAAAGTGAAACAGATCCCTCACATGCCACCAGCCCCTATTGTTGCAGGCGTGCTTTTGAGAATTCCCAACCACCACACACGCACCCTCCCTTCTTCCAGTAGCAGCAGATCTGTATCCGTGATTGGCCGGGCAAATTCCAAATTGAGATGCTGCAGGTTGCAGGGAGACAGCTTAAAAGACCCCACCCACACCCCCTTCCCAACCACCGCCACCCACGCACGCACCTTCCCCGCCAGCAGCAGCAGATCTGTATCCGTGATTGGCTGGGCGAATTCGAGATTGAGATGCTCCAAGCGAGAGAAGCGAAACTAGGGGAAGAAACAGTGGGGAGAGCAAGAGGGAGGAGGAGGGACAAAGAAGAGAGGGAGGAGTGCTTTCTGCTGGGTGATAACTGGCTGGGAGACTTTTGAGTCGACTCAAAAGTCACCTCGACTCAAAAGTCACCTTTTGAGTCGACTCAAAAGGAAGAGAGGGAGGAGTGTTTTCTGCTGGGTGATAACAGGCTGGGAGAATTCCGTATTAAGATGCTTCAGGCGAGAGAAGCGAGGCTGGGGAATTGAGAGGGGAGAGCAGAGGCAGAGCACAAGACGTGGGGACAGGAGAGGAAAACCGAGAGGCAGAGCACAAGACGTGGGGACAGGAGAGGAAAACCGAGAGGCAGAGCACAAGACGTGGGGACAGGAGAGGAAAACCGAGAGGCAGAGCACAAGACGTGGGGACAGGAGAGGAAAACCGAGAGGCAGAGAGAGACGAAGCTGGGGGATCAAGCGGGACAGAGGGAGGAGCGAGGGGAGGGGGCAGAGGGGGAGCAGAATAAACAGTTACAGATGCAACAGATTGAACAGCCCCTGAGGTGCAAGTCCTCCCGCGCACACCCCACCACCCCCCAGGACCTTCCCCCCCGTGCATTCCTCCCCCACCCCCCGACCCTTATCCCATGCGCAACCACCCTCCCCCTCCCCTCCAAAACCCCTCGGGAACCTCCCTTTCTGCGCACCCTCCCCCCGCACCACAGCCCCCCCCCCCCCCCCCCCCCCCGGCCAGCCAACCTGCGGAAGAGCCTGAGCGAGCCTGGCACTGGCGCTTAGGCGCCTCGCACGGTGCATCGTACCCCTCCCCGCCCCCCCTCCCCCGCACCCCCATGGGACCATTTACCCCGACCGCCAACCCCACACACACCTGCGGAAGAGCCTGAGCGAGCCTGGCACTGGCGTTAGTGGCGCCTTGCAGGGAAAGAGACTGCTCCCAACAGGGGTTCGGGTTTAGCGGTGAAGAGGGTATGGGGGAGGCGGAGCGGGGGTTTATGGGGGAAGAGGGTTTAGCACGGGGTGGGGTTTACTGGGAGAAATGAGACAGCGGAGATTCATCCTCGTATGCATCACGATGATCCAAATACTTATTACAAGGCGAATTAGTGCTTGTAGTGATGACAAATCAACATCAGTTTTTTTGTTTTTTTTTTTTTTGGGGGGGGGAATTAGCAAGAATCAGCGCCTGTCGCGTCGCTCTCATTATTCAATTGATCTCAAAGGCGGAATTACAACCAGTAATACCTTCCACAGCGCAGGTTGATACGCGGCGGCTCTTAGATCCCTGCACGCGCACGCCGCAGCGCACAGGTCGCGCTGCGACAACCACGGGAGCACGCATCGGAGCGCCTCAATTTCTCGATGTGATTGTAACGAGCCGCGCTCGACGTGACTTTGCAGAAGGGACGGCTCTGACCTATCCATCCTAACCACGGCGCTAATTAAGTAGAGAGGAGCGAGATAACATAAAACTCGGAAGAAATAAATCTGTAAGCAACTCGAATGACGCGATTTGAAGAGGCAGGAGAACGAGCCAACAGGAATCGCAGCGCAATCTAAGGAATTATACCCATGCACTGTGGAACACAAAATGCGGATGAAACGCATACTCACTAGCAAGTACTTCGATTTTCGTCTTGTTTCTGAAAACGAAGAACCAAACTCCTCAGTAAGCACGTTTCATCGATATATAGCGACTGGGAGTCACTGTAACTCCTCAGTTGGTACCGTCAAGTCACGATACAGTCGATGCTCAGCCTATCACAAAACATTTGCTTCCCACAATTTGAAATTTAGTCACTCGCGAACATTTTGCCCGTGAGTGATTAAATTGACCATTGTGCCGATTTCGGGGTACAGTCACCAAGTTGAGGAAGAAAAACATCTACAGCACATAAACAACAACGGTTGCCCGTCATCAGAGAAGTTAACCTGGTTACGAAATTAAAACCCTCGACTCGATTCACGTTGCAATTTCATATTACTGTCACATTTTTGCCCGTGGCGACAATGGCGAACATGGCGAAATGACTTAACGCGTTTCACGCACATGCCGCCCGCTTACCTGGTGTTCTTGAAATGGGCACCGCTTGTACAGTAGAGCCGGCTGTTGGTAACTGTAGCTGAGTACGGCAGTAGTTTTTGCCATGTGGAAGAATCTGTCGTTTTTACCGACTTTGTGATTCCACGGATAGAAGTTCCGTGGAAAATGGGGTTGCAACCAGAATTGTTCCAGGTGTTTCGTCACGGACAGAAACACCTGGAACAATCATGCTTGCAACCCCATTTTTCGTCAGCTATGCAGTGTGAATGTGCAGTGCAGTGGTACAGCTGTGCTGTTCAGTGTACAGTACCCTAGTCTAGTGGGCCCTTCGAGGGTGATTTGTCAAGAGTCTCAGTACAAGGTGAAGAGAAAATATGAGGGAAATTATACGCGCAGTCACAATTATGGCCGTATTATCACGTTTGGTCACGGGGCTATCACGGACAGTCACAGTACAGTACTTCGCTATCACGCATGATCACAGCGCTATCACGCTTGATCACTCCTCGCCCCGCAGGGTTATCACGTTTGGTCACTCGTTGAAACGCCCGCCAAAAAGTCGAAACTCTCAAATCTACTGTACAGATTCGGGTACTTTTATCTCGCGCGCGTTTTGTCTGTAGTGAAAAAGGTGGAGGAGGGATGAGATCTCCGGCTGTGTCTTGGTCCGCGAAGGCGGGAGGCATGCCCATCATCCTGCCGCTCATGGTCAACTCGCTCGCCAAGGTGGGTGGTTTGACGAGTGGGTGGAAGCAGAGGAGAGCAAGGTGGGGCCGTGGGAAGAGGAGGGATGAGATCTCCGGCTGTGTCTTGGTCCGCGAAGGCGGGAGGCATGCCCATCATCCTGCCGCTCATGGTCAACTCGCTCGCCAAGGTGGGTGGTTTGACGAGTGGGTGGAAGCAGAGGAGAGCAAGGTGGGGCCGTGGGAAGAGGAGGGATGAGATCTCCGGCTGTGTCTTGGTCCGCGAAGGCGGGAGGCATGCCCATCATCCTGCCGCTCATGGTCAACTCGCTCGCCAAGTATATTTCGACAGTCACATCACGTTTTTCACTACAGACAAAACGCGTGCGAGATAAAAGTACCCGAATCTGTACAGTAGATTTGAGAGTTTCGACTTTTTGGCGGGCGTTTCAACGAGTGACCAAACGTGATAACCCTGCGGGGCGAGGAGTGATCAAGCGTGATAGCGCTGTGATCATGCGTGATAGCGAAGTACTGTACTGTGACTGTCCGTGATAACCCCGTGACCAAACGTGATAATACGGCCATAATTGTGACTGCGCGTATAATTTCCCTCGAAGAAGACACTTGCTTTTCAAAAGTTACGGGTAGAGAGGAGGTTTCTTCCGACAGAGTGGAACAAAATCAGATTCACGGATGAAAACTTCGAGTCTGGTCTGGTCTGGAGTGGATGTGAGGCCGAACAGAAGTTAAAGCCGTGGCCCAACTATCTGCTTCAACTTCGAAGTATTATAGCTTGGAACTTGGTTGTCCCAGGCAGTTCTGTGGCGAGAAGTTTGTCTTTTCCGAGATTCCATTTTTTTCATCCAATAAGGGTCTCGTTACGCACACTCCATGTTTGTCCTGCTACTGTTCCTAAGAAGTTGCACCCCGCCTTTAACGTCACAAGGATTTGATCAGCAGGTCGGTCGGGTGGAGGACCGTGTTTCTTATTGAACCCACGTTGTGTGATTTTCGCGAGCTACAGTGTTTCCACGTGAGCATTTAATGTGACTGTGCAGTACAGACAGAACTGTACATGAGGACAAGTCGAGGGAAGACCTTTGCCACAGAAAGATGCCAAACGTACAAAAAGGACAGGAAAATCACTGACAGGCTCACTACAGTGTGCTGGACAGAGTCACCTAGCAAATGCTTGATCTGGTGAACCTGTAGTGTACTACCCTCTTATGGACTGGAATCATATTCGATAGTTCTGTTATATAGGTGATTCGCCGATTCGTGTTGCCATCGGATATTGTCGCGTGTTCGAGGTTCAGATTTCATTTTTTTTCAAAAACTATACCTGACCAGAAATATTCAGTTCAAGCCACTGTGGGCGAACTGCTGGCAAAGTTTCGGACAGACTGACCCAGTCTGCATGGTGAGGATTGCCCAGGTTGGTGTATTGTACGGCACAAATTGGCATTGTCTTCAGTCACCCCCACGTAACCACGTTCCGGTGACGCGGAGGATCTGGAATCCATAGGGAATCGCGATTCACGTCGTGTCGTCGTCAGGTTACTGTCTTGCGGCGTGCTTGCAGCACTGCGTGTGAACCGACCTGACTCAACACGTAACAATCAGCTAAATGTCACTGTAGCAAATTTCAATGGCGCGCCTCCTTGCCATCTTGACACATTTTGCTTTGCATCGCACCTACACATGATGCCCACCCCACGCACGCGAATTTGCTCTGCACGGCTGGAAACGCTGCACCCGAGGTTTTTTCCCCAGACTGTTGCACCCACGGTACAAGCGCGTCGCGTGGTTATGAACCAATTGTAACGAACAGACCGAAGTCAAACTGAAGTGACTGAAGTCAAAATGTCAACGGATGAGGTTACAGATCCTTTATATAAGCACCTGCGAATCCTTTTTAGCTAGCTGCGAATTGACGAAACTTATGCGAAATGCACGATACGGCTTATACGCCCCCTTCACAAGGCAACCGGGAGGGGCTCAATCAGGCATCAGTTTGTACTCCCATTCCTGCCAGGGTTTTCTGCCATGCTTACCGACATCCTTCCAATCTGGAAAGACTTGTTTGCTTGGATTTTCACACAGCAAACGCAGTGCTTGCAGCAAGCCTACGCAACTTCTGCTCACGGATTTCTGAGGTAGTCGGAACTGCTGAATGCAACGTAGTAAGATTGATTAGGAGTTGCCCAATGGTGCTTGCTCAGCCGCCAGTTGCGGCGCTCTCTGCGCCAGGGAACGGAGCTAGCTTATCAGACGGAGAGCACACGCCGGTCGCCGAAACGGCAGGTGGAAATGGCTCCGGAGTCGATGAGCCGCAGCTGATTCTGCGAAAAATGGCTCTGATGAGTTTGGTGGCGGCGGACGGATACCACTGGCTGAAATATGGCGAGAAAGTGCTCTCGAAAATCGGCGACCCCGTTTCTGTGAGAAGGTAAACACGCCGGGAGGGTTCGCAACCTATCCGAGGCGGCGTGAACGTTCAACAACCGTGAAGTTCACGTTTTCAAAACGGAAGAAATAAACATATTGAATGTGAGGAGTTTGACGACACGTTTCCGAGGGTTTCCGAGGAGTTTGACGCCACGTTTCCGCGCGGCGCGGCGGTAAGCGTCCCAAACTCTCGAGAATTTGTAACCATGGTGCTGATAGTTTGCAATTGAAGTCACATTTGGATGGACGTGAACTTCTCAAGAATCTGTTCTCACGTTCTTTGCTACAGTGACAGCACGTGGAAAGGGAGTTGTAAAATTGTAGCAATGTATATGTGAATTGTATTCGACAGTACCGTGTATGTGTCTTACCACCCTTAGATACCATAAACTTTTCTACATACGAGGAAAAAAAAATACTTCCTGATTATTTTTCCTCTCCTTTTTCCTCTCTTGTTTTTTCCTGCCGCTAAAAAAAATCACAACCCTCTCTCCCCTCCTTTCCCACCACGCCCCCCGCCTCTCTCTGAAGCAGAGGCTACTACAAGTGAGGTGAAGCAAGCGAGAGAAGGGCGGGACCGGCTTCCCAAGCCCAGCACGCAAGCTACGTGATTGAAGAAGGGTTTTGAGACGTCTCAAAACCCTTCTTCAATCACGAGAAGGGCGGGACCGGCTTCCCAAGCCCAGCACGCAAGCTCCTGCCTTGGCTCGAGTTACCCACATCACTCCACAGTTTTTTTCCCGCCTCCTCCTC